TGAACTTATTAAAATGTTTAAAGCATATATAAAGATCTCTCTCTCTCTCTCTCTCTCTCTCTCTCTCTTCTTTAGATATATAAATCCTGAAAAAATAAAGAAATACTTTGAAAGCAAAAATCTGCTTGGTGTCTTTAGAAAAGTACTGCTCAATTTGCTGTACAATACTAAAAAAGATAAAGGAGTCCCCTCAAAGTAAGTGCTTTTGAAATATACAAAAACAGTAACATTCATTTATATTATTTTCAAAGGCCATTTTTCTTTATTTTAAAATTATAACCTAAATACTTTACAGAAATGTTTTTAAGTAGTTTATAACTAAACTATGTATATATGTGCAAAATTTAAAGGAGATACATATGAATAATATTCTTTATTTTATTCATTAAGGTAAATTTCACATATAAAATAAAATTTACCATCATTTTAAAAGGCACAATTCAGCATTTGGTACCTTTGCAATGTTGAGCAATCATTTGCTCTACCAGATTCTGTAATATTTTCATTGGCTTACAAGTAAACCACTACTCACTTAGCAGTCACTCTCCATTCTCCCTCCAGCTCCTGGAAATCACTACATTATTTTCTTTCACCTACTCAATTTCATATAAATGAAATCATTTGCATATAATTTTGTGTTTCTAGCTTTTTAAAATTAACATAATGTATTCATGCACATGATAGCGTGTATTATTAGCAAAAAGTTCATCTATTTTTAGTGTTATAAGTATCTTGTCCATTTCTATGTCTGGAAAATAGACCATGGTATATATGATATTTTATTTATCCATTTATCAGTTTATGTACATTTATGTTATTTCTACATTTAGTCCAATGTGAGTAGCACCATTGTGAACATTTATGCAGAAACCTGAAACCTGAAATGATAACACTAGGGAAGGCAAACCTTAAGAATTTTAACCTCTAGATTCTTATTAATACTCTTTCCTTGAAGAAGCAGCCCCCTCCCTACACAGAAAGGATCAGCCTCATCTTACTTTCACATGCTACATCAATGTGGCACCATAAAATGTGATTTGTCCCTTTTTTTTTTCAAGTTTAGTGTTTAGTACCTGTCTTTGCTTTCTGGGGATTACCTACTCGGGTCTCAATACAGCTATAAGGGAAAATAGTGTCTGCTTTAAGGAAGTACAAAATATTTACTGTAGGAACAACAGGAACAGACTAATGCCAGGAAATACTGGTAGAACATATGAAGGAACTTGACCAGAAGTTTGCAGCACAAGGCCAGACTGGAGAGGATTTGTTGGCTCAGGTTGTCCTGTCCTTGATGACAGAATTGAGCCCTCTGACAAGGCAAATTGGGGATGGTACTCTCATGCTGTGTTGTTCTTTGGAAATGGAACAAACCAATAATCTACAGCAAATGGAATGCCCAGCTAAATTTATTATGTATTAAAACTCAAATGCATGGACTCATTCCCTGGGAAGGCTCAGAAGACACAAGAAGCTCAATGTAGATGACCTTTACAGGCCATGGTTCACAGTTAGAATGGCTGCCACAGACTGACCCCTCTAATTATCAAAAAAGATGGATAGGACTCAGGAGTATGACTCTGAATCTTCAGAGGCAAGGCATGCATATTTTCTTTTATAAACTGAACTTACAGTAGCAGAGTGTCCTGACCAACAAGGTTTCCTGAACTGCAGATGATTAAGAAATAAAGTGTGTCAAAGGGCCATATAGATGAAGAGTTAGCTATAGTGATACTTTTCTAAAAAGTTACTGGTTACAAAAGGGTTACAATTAGCTAAATCACAATTCCTCTTCTCTTCTTTGTGGTATATGCCTAAGCCAGCTCTGTAAACCAGAGCCCTGGAGTAAAGACCTCTAACAACCCCACAAAGACAGAAGATAAATATTTCCTCAATATTTTTTGTGGACAGTGAACTATTTTAGCAGAGTTAACATACACTGGAGGAAAGAGAGAAATTCATATTTTTATGACTTTTGAATATGGCATTTAAGAAGCTGACACTGACAGTAAAGGCCAGATATGCTGTCACAGTCCTCAAGTTAGACTGGAGGTTATATGGGGTTTCTGGCCTACTTTATCTCAGTCAGAGTCCACTGTGAAGGTCCATTGTGTGGTTGCTTCTACACATCCATGAAAGTATAGCTGGGGTGATGTACTTGATGTCAAACTCAACATTCTCGTTGATTAAGAACTATTGTAACAGGAATAGTCAAGTGGAACCTATAATCAAAATATTAAATAAGAAATAATGTAGAATTCCAGGAAGAATTAGGAATTTACTGCAGATAACTAAAAGTTTAACAGAATTATTAGTTGTCATCACTTCCTCTTTAATTCACCCATCTGACATAAACAAAACAGAGTATAATCAAGCATTAATTTAAGCACAGGGTAACTCAAGTACAATGCTGCGGGATGGATCAAGAAAAGCAGCATAGAGAGAAGACTGAGAATGGTGTGGGCTCTGCTAGCACAAAGTTACTAAGGCTTATAATCTATGGCTCTTCTCACAAGTAGGCACTGCCTGAGGCTTTAGAGTGACCCAGCAGGGTGGCCACATAAGCATGTTTCTATTTCATATTTTCACCCTCTTTTTCTCAAATAAGATACAAAATTATAGCAACCTTCTGACAGCCAGGCATGGTGGCACACACCTGTAATCCCAGGACTTGGGAGGAAGAGGCAGGAGGATGGCCACGAATTCAAGGATAGCCTGGGCTACACAGTGCGTTCAGAGCCAGCCTGACCTACAAAGTGAGACCTTGACTTAAAAAAACAAAAATAAATAAATAAAAATAAAAAGCTTTGACACCTAACTCAAATGTACTCCCTGAGAGGGCCAGAGACTTAGCTCAATGGTGCCACCACCTGCCTCACACGCACAAGATCCTGAGTTCAATCCTCACTAAAAAAAAATAGTACTCTCTGAGAATGGGAAAATGAGCAGTTCAATCAGTAATTACTGATCAGTCATATCATTTGAGTTTTAACAAATATAATGCATTATTATACCATTTGAATAGTGTCAGAACTTGATTAAAACATAAAAAGCAGATCCTCTCATTTACAATTCCAATCATTAGCATATTTGCTATGGAAACTATTTTTCATTAATTTAAATTTTTTGATAAAATTTGGATCCATATTATCCTCCTGCAACACATCCTGTGCATTCTTCCCAATTTTGTGCCTAATTATTGCATTGTTTTTTTAAAAAACATAATACATTGTGCTTGCTTTAAAAATAAAGCAAGTTACAGAAAAATCTTTTTGCTATTTCTTTTGGAACAATATTCAAACTTAGAAGTCATCTCTTAGTAATGGAATTATTGGAGGATGTGAAGCATTCTCATTGTTTTGTTTTAAAATTGTTTCCGGTTTGAATAATCTCTGTCTTACACTGAAAGTATTTCTTTTAAAGGTAAAAGAAAAGTATTACATGGTGGTATATGGTGCAATCCAAGCACTCTGGGAAGACATAGCAGGAGGATTGCAAGTGAAAGCCCAGCCTCTGCAAATCAGTGACTGAGCAAGACTCTATCTTAAAATTAAAAACCAAAAGGGCTAGGAATGTAGCTCAGTGCAAAGGCCTTGGGTTTACTCCTCAGTACTGAAAAAAAAAATGAGTGAGAGGTAAGGAAAAAAATGGGGAAACTAGATCCAAGACATTTAGTCAAAGAGGAAATTAAAAAGATAGTATCCAAATCAGGATGCCAGACAGTATGAACTCGTGATTATTGCTTCCAAGAATTAAGCAAGTCTCTGTGGCCACTGATATTTAGAACAGAACAAAGCATTTAATAAAATTCACTTGATATAATTATTTCATCTGACAAAACTGTCTGTTTTATTTGCAGATATCACTTCCTTCGTACATGCCATAACATAATATCTATTAATGAATTTGAGTATATTGGATACCTTGCAATACTAATGAATACATTTCCTATTATCATCTCCTGGATATCTTTGTTAAATGAAATCTATGTCTATGAAATAAGACATGCTAGCTACTTTTTCCTTACCCTATATATTCTAGAGGCTCTACTTAAGGTAATCTAAAATGTGTATGTTATTGTGGTATCTTTAACAAGATTTCTTAACCTCATGTTTCATCATGTTTCAACACTAGCTTCATACAATTTTCTAAAGTGTATAAGAAATTCTCAAACAAAATAAACATTTTAAAGGTGATTTTTACCATGACAATAGAAAATATGAATTCTTCAAGCATTATGTATTTGCAGAAATAAATGCTAATATTATGTGAGTGAAAAGGACAGAATGAGTTTAAACAGTATTGACATGTTCTTAAAGTCAACAGAGTGTTCATTTTATTATTTTTATATTTGATAGACAAAGAGAAGGACAGGTACCTTGATAGATTTAATACTTAAAATATTTATATTGGATTTTTAAAATCCAATATAAGGAGCGTTGCTAAATGATGGAAATATGTACCTACAAACCAATAGTGATACTTTGTCACATGGATATGTGATATGTCAAAGTTGTAATATAAAATATTTTAGACAGAAGATTTAAATAGAGGGATTATATATGATACTTGGGCAAAATAAATGAATTTCAGATATTTCCTGGAAAACTGAATGTTGCTACAAAACCATAGTACTAGAACGATGGATTCAAATCCAATAAACTATACATAAGTTTCAAACTAGTAAGAAACACCATAGGAATTATGAAATGAGCCCCTTCCATAATATTTGAATTCTACTGTAAATTTCATGTTCAACAAGAAATCTACCACAGCTGCTTCTAGTTGACTTCAGACAGAATTGCCAGAAAAGCTCTACCAATTATGGACTTAAGGCATGAAATCCTTGTTTTCAGAGTTCAAGAGTTCAGATTAAATTATATATATATA